TCATTTTGGCGGGAAAACGCGATAGCTGTCGTCGTTCTACTACAAGTTTTAACAAGAATGTCGTATATGTTAGGAATTTTGTCATTTGGTGGTTTTTCTTGATCTCTTTAAAAAGGGATTTTTACTGCTAGGAAAATATCAATTCTGGTTTTTTTTTTGCCTTCGTAGGTCATCTCTCTTTCCCATGAACTTGAAGAGCTGCAGGAAAAACTTGCAGAGTCCGAGCGTCTACGTAAGGCTGCACAGGACAAATTGGAGGCCATGATGGAGAGTAAGGACGACTTTGGCAAGAACGTGCACGAATTAGAGAAGGCAAAGCGATCCCTCGAGGCACAACTAGAGGAAAAGAAACAGGATATGGAAGAGCTGGAGGATGAATTGCAGATCACAGAGGATGCTAAACTCAGAGTGGAAATCAACATGCAGGCGGCCAAGACTCAGTTTGAACGAGAGCTGGCGGCTAGAGATGAACAGAATGAAGAGAAGAGGAAAGCTCTGCTCAAACAGGTGAGAGGACTCGCTAGTCATTCCTGAGATTAGTTAAGTTTAAGGGTGAAAAAAATGTTAACAGGTTGAGTAAGAACATACAAATGAAGACTAGTGACTAAAGGTAGCAACACTCGTTTAGGGTTAGCGTCCATTATGACGGACAAAGGGGCTCTAACTGTGACCTTTTGAGGAAGCTTTGGTCAGTGTAAGCTCAGTGCTGGATAGTTCTTGAGCACACAGTTTCAAAAAAGTATTACAGTGTATAAATAAACAAAAACATGAAACTGTGTGTTCAAGAACTATCCAGCACTGAGCTAACTGACCGAAGCTTTTTTAGCTTTCTGCACAACGAATTTTTTTTAAGACTCGAATTTTGACTTCAGTCACTTCGTGGACTGAAGGGTCAAAGACAGTAGATAAATCAGTATAACAGTGAGTGCTCAAAGTGGCGATTTTCTTATTCCTCAGCTTTGTGAACTTGAAAGCGAACTGGATGAAGAGCGCAAAGCCCGTGTGAATGCTGTTACTCTAAAAAAGAAGATCGAAACAGACATGAAAGATCTGGAGGAACAACTCGAGGCAGCCAACCGTGTCAAGGAGGATGCACTCAGACAGTTGAAGAAATATCAACAGCAAGTGAAGGATATTCAGTGCGATTTGGACGAGGCACGGCAAGCGCGAGACGAGATATGCGAGCAAGCAAAAGAGAACGAGAGGAAAGCCAAACAACTGGAGGCGGACTACCCCAGGGGCCCCACTGACATATTTTATTGACAGGGGGGTCCGACAGAGGTTCATATTTTATACCCCAAAAAATCCCAACTTCAGAATTTGTCTACCCAAAAAGATCCCTACTTTTTTTTAGCATACCCCAAAAAATCCCTCAGTGTTTTTGCATCAGCAAATTTTATTTTTTATCTTCTGAAATAACTGAGTCAGCGACACATCTTTGTATGGGTTCATAAACCACTTTGGCAAGCTTGATGCTATGTTACTAATATTTACCAAGAGAACTTCTTCATACAACAAAAATGGGATCACAACTGACTGGACCTCTTAGCTCTTGCTCGAACTCAACAGCATTGACTCCCGGTTTGAGTTTAGTTTACAAAATCAGTTTTCCTTGCCTTTATTTTTACATAGCAATGTGATCATTTGATAATAGATATATATCAGTGGGTAAACATCCAATTCATAAAATGTTTACTTTGTATACAATGTTTCCATTGTGGTCTTGATGACTGGCTTGAAAGGCCTTGAATTACGTGGCCTATTGAATATTTCTCTCTGGATTAGATGCGCCTGGAGTGCTGGTAATTACTTTTCAAATAGATTACAATCTCAGAAATATCCCGTAATACCACACAAGCAGTAAATTGCGCTTATGTTATTGTTGATTTGAGCTGATGAAAAATACAATACCCAAAAAAATCCCTGTGTTGTTTTCGTGACCCAAAAAAATCCTGGCGTCTTTCATAGACCAAAAAAAATCCCTTTTGGCCAAAATGTCAGACCAATCTACCTATCCGATATATTTATGCTCCAACATGGCTACTATCCCTTTGTTTGCCCCTGTAACATGGCTACTGCAACAAAGTGAACAGACTCTGTAGGGTGACCCAGTTGAAGCTTACATTCATGTCCTTAAAATTTATTCTTCATAGAGCCTTGTTGTCGGTTCCCAACAACTACAGTAACAAATTCTTTCGCTGGAATAATGACTCCTTCACTAACAACATCTGGAAATCAACCACCAATGAGCAAGTCACCAAGCTATGGATCTTACCTAAGCCAACGCTTTGTTCCTCCAAGTCAAAACTCCCCGGGAAGGATGTCACGAAGCTGTGATGATGTAAGCCAGTTGTCGGTTAACAACAAATTTCCTTTTCAAGCAGAAAATGGTGCAATGTATGACTTTGATAACTTTCTTACAAGTCCATTGTCGCCCATGAAAATTGACTCTTGTGACACAGATGATAGCCCAGGTTTACTGTTTAACTCGTCAAACTCCATACCCATCCCATCCTCGAATGGTATTGTTGGAAAGACAGACACTTTGAGCTGGCTCGACTTAAGCATGTCACCCACAGCTCAGCAGAATATTCCACATGCCAATGTTGAACTTACATCAATACATAACAACAATTATAAAGGGACTCCGCCATTAAATTTGTATGACGACCATGAACATACGCCATTGTCACTGTTTGACTTAGAAACACCTACTGCACTTCATCCTCCGAGTGACTTTGGTGAAGCGATGGATTACTGCATCTAGGTTGTATTGCATTAGTTTGTGTATAATAATGAACATAATACCAGTATCACTATAAGTGATCATACATTATTTGTGTAAATAATAGTAAACAACTTGTTAATAATATTAAAATTATTAATTGTTAGAACAATCAGTAAAATTTATTTTATTGATTACTCTAACGGTTTTACTATAGAGATATTAACAGATGTTAACATCTGTCTATTGTGGTATAATATTGTACAGAAAAAAAAAAAAACAGAAGCAAGTTCCTGTAAGGACATTATAGGCATTAAGCAGGCAAGAGTCAGTCCTCCAATTTTTTTTTTTGTATCAGAAATCCTTGTGCATTTTGCAGACAGCAGACAAAATTACTCTCGGAATAGGCAGCATAAACCTAAACAACAAAATGGAATTTAATATTAGTTTTATTTCATGATTACTTGTGGCTAATCACCACACCAATATTTTCTATTTGTTTTGATGAATAAATTGTTGTTCCACGGCAGGGTATTGCCATTAATAAATAATATTGGTAAAGATGGTAGATTCTGGCAGGGTTTGTGATTTTCTGAGAACAATTTAATATTTCTAAACAGACTGACTTCACTGGCAGTGCCACCAATAACTTCCATGTAAATGGTGTATTAATCATTCACTCTGTCAGAATTATGCCAGCGTACTGACTTTAATTTTTCATTTTTAAGAAAGTGTTGGCTATTGATGTTACAATGTGATCCTTTGTAGAAGAAGGTTAAGCCTTTCAAATCAGATCTATTAAAAAGTTTTTTGTTGCATAATCTTGTGTTGCTATGCTTTCTGTCACTTATAACTTGGCCTGTTTCAGACGTTCAGATAGTAGAGTGCCATGATCAGATGGTGGGGAGAGAGTCAAATTGTGCGTGGGGGAATGAGGAGGAAAAACAAGGGGAGAATAGCGCGAGAGCAAAGGAACTTTTCCCTTGCAAGAGGCTGGTAACATAAGTCAACTAAAAAACAACGACAACAAAACCATTGGTCTTGGCTCGTGGGTGTTCTTGAACACTGTATTGTAGTGACCATCTGAATTTGGTGTACTTGGATTATCAAATCAGTTGAATGTCTTTAACTCTCTTGTTGTAAGCTGCGATCATTACGAGGTGTTTTTTTTTTCGGGTAAGTGTAATATGCGACAGACCAGCCTTCCAAAGAAAAAAGGAAGAAGGACCATCTGATTGCAGGTTACTCTTGTTGTGTTTCAGATTTATCCCTGTATGAGTCCAATCTATCTTTTTTTTTGGTCTTTAAACATACAACAGTATTGTAATGAGTCTAGAAGAAAAAAGAAAAATAATGGCTATGTATTCTTCGACCAATTCCACCATGCAAAATTTAACTTTGCCTCTTTCTGTACTGCATTTTAACAACACTAATTCTGTATATTTTATTGTTATGTGAATGAGTGGGGAAGGGGTCAAGGTCCTTGACCAGGAGATGGTGGACATTAAAAGAAAAATCAAGGAATTAGGAGACCAGAGCATAAAGTTTAGGCATCCTTGGCACCAAAAAGAGCACACTTCCCCTTATACTATGAATTCTCATCAAATTTGTCCCAGGGGTGACTGGGAAGGATCATTCTTGTTGGTAGAGAGTGTGTTTGTAGAGGTTATGATTTGGAAATGACAAGAAACTAAAAAATGGAACATTGTCCCCTCTCCCAAGTTGTCAACTTTCTCATGGACTATTCCCAAGCAGCCTTTGCTGAGCTGACGAAAAAGTTGCTGCAAAACACTGGAAACAAAGTAGCTGATTATTAGCTGCCATCTTACCCTTATTTCCCACGCTAACATTCATCTACTTATTTCTAGATTCAAACAATCACAAAATAATATTTTTTTAACTGCTAAGTGTAACAGGCTTCTAGGAGTCTTATATATTGGGCAAGTTGAATGGGAAAACTCATATTTGGGGACTGTAACCTCATGAAATTTCAGCCATCTCCACCCACTAACCTATGGGAGGTGCCCCTGTGGGTTAGGGGATAGAGACCACTGACATTTCAGACTATGAAGACTGGAGACAGCGAATAAACCAAGAGGGAACCAAAGGAGAGGCCAACTACCCACTTCCCCTTTGGCTCATCAACAAGACTGTACCCGAGGGAGTGGCAGAAAATTGAGTCTAGTTCCCAATCAGCTTGCAATAATTTTGCTTACTCAGCCGGGCTACCTAAGCAACACTACAACTGATTTCCTTACTCCGGAATTCAAGTGACAAGGATGATTGAAGAATTTTTTTTGAGGTGTGAAATTTTCGATTCCAGGATTTTTTGGGGTAGGAAAATTTGGTAAGTATTTTCCTTGGGTGGCTTGATCAAACAATAGTCTGCAAATATAGCTGGGGGTGTAAATTAAGCCTGGGATTTTTGGGGGGGTTAACTTTTGGTCCAGGGATTTTTTTGGTTTTGTTGTAGGCCTTAGGGATTTATTTTTGGTTTTGATTTTTGCCTCCATTCGGTCATTGCGGTCACTTGAAATGCGGAGTACCCCGCTGGGCACCATACCAAGGCTTTTAGGGCCAAGAAAAGAGCCCGGGGGTACTTGGGTTAATGTTTGCTGGGTATGTGCCGCCGGTCTCTCAGAGCCCCTACCCCATTATAGTCTGTTTTTTGGCCAGTTATGGACCCCATCTTAGTCACTTTTTGGAAAATGTAATTTTCGTGATCCCAACTTAGTCACTTTCTATTTATGCATCCTGACCTTATCAATGTGGTTTCAAGAGGCGGAATGTAATGTGGTCAATGCGACCTTATTGTTAAATTTAATAAACAACAACTTACTGATTTTTTAACCAAGAATCTTATATGAGTTACAGGATGATTGCAAGTGGGTGGATGGGCAGCATCAAAACAAATTCTACAGGCTCCCCCACTTTTTTTTCTCTCCCAACACTTTGGGGGGTGGGGGGTGGGATTGAGAAAGGTTTACCCTATGACTCCTTAGGCCAAACTCCTCAAAAGACAGTTTCTTCCTGAAAAATATTTTTGTTATACTTAACCTTTCTCTTTTTTCTCTCCCCCTCCACTCCCCTTTTCGCATCTGCCATACAGACCATCTCACTTGCAAATTTGTTCCTATGGGTCTGTTTAGACCCCTCCAATGAATAATCAATGTATCTTGCCCTTGACCTCTCTCCTTATCTTAAGGTCAGGATGAAGGCTCCCCCCTGACAAGGTCTAGCTAGTTTATGCCTGCTGCTCCCTCCCCTGAAGAAAAAAATCATTTCTCTCCTGAGAGAAGGCAGCTGTGCGCAGGCTAGAGAAGGGCAGGATTCACCACTGGGCTGGAAACAACTTAGTTGTTTTGCTTTAGAGTTATCTTGTAATGAACCAGCTTTTTGTGGATAATATGAAGTGGTTCATGTGTTAAGTCAGTTGGGTGCAATGCAAAAGATGAGTTGTCACCAGGGGACAACTGTGTTATTCACTCCCCAATACTTACATATATAAATTATTGATTTCAGTGATTACCATTGATTCTTTGAAATTTGTTTCATTTGTTTCACTCAAAAAGAGCTTAATTTTGGGCAAAGTCAGGGTGCAACAAAAGTTCTTTCCATTACTCTAATTGAGTTTTCATCACAAGTTATCACACAATTTTGTTCCATCTTCTGAGGACCAATGTTTTTTTTTCAACTAAATTTTGGGCTAGCTACAAAGAGCTTCAGGATAGAAAAATGCCCATCAGGCAACCTGGTGCTCTGTTTTTTTCCCACAATACCATAAATAAAAAGCAAGCCTTTTAAACATAAGTTCTTTGTATACTGAGAGGAAATGTGTGAGAAGTCTGAAATACATACCATAAAATTCCGAAAATAAGCCCCAGGGCGTAAATTTTTCGAAGGCCCTTTTGAGGGGCTTATTTTTGGAGGGGCTTATATTCGGAGGGGCGATTTAACGGAGGGTTTTTTGCATTACGATTTTGGGGAGCTTATATTTGGAGGGACTCATACATGGAGAGGCTTATTTTCGGAATTTTACTGTATTTTTGGAAGGAGACTAAACAAAACTTGCAAAGCAAGCATTTTATTTCTCTCAATGCACACAATGTACACATCATGACTGTTATCAACACTGTAACATCAGACAATAAAATTCTCCTTATAAAAGCGCTATGTCCAGAAAGACAAGAATATTAAATAAACATAAACTTTCATTATTTTGCCCTGGAAATTGAAACACATTATTATATTCTAGCCTATGTTCTTTCAAGAATGGCCTACATAGCAAGCATTTCCATTAAGCTATTGTGTGACCCCCTTTCTGTCTTTGTTTAAACTTCCTGGACGAACTCATGCGGAAATGCTTACTGTGCAGGCCTTTTCAAGGGTATTTGGTGACGCATCAAAAAGGAATTAATCCCAGAAAATGTTAATGGAGTCGCTCATTCTGCCCAACTCTTTAAACAAAATTATTTTTTATCACCTGTTATTTGGCTGATTGTTACGAGAGAAAGTGTGTTGATTACACTTATACATTAAAGGGAGTTTTGACACAGAGGCGTAAGCTTGTAAACTGATCAAGAAGTCCATTTGAACAAAAGCTATCACAACTTAGCAGATACACTCATAAAAAATTCCTATCTGTACATTCCCTGGTTATCACTTTTGACATTAACCTTATGATGATCTTTCTCGACTTCTAAACACTAAAAGCAGTTAGCTTATAATAATCTTAAAATAATAAATTAGTTTACAGCTCCTGTTTCAAATCTGTGAAAAATCCTTGGCGTGGCTTGGTCTGGGCTTAGTGATCTTTGAGCAATAGGAAAATGAAAATAAAACATATTGGCAATAAAATTTAGTTTAATGAAGCCTTTTCCAAAATAAAGCGCAGCCCCTTTGTCAACAAAAATGTCTCCGCAACACGGTTAGGCGTGCATCCCCAAATGTTGACTTCATTAAAAGTATGTAAAGTGGAGAGGCTAGGCATTCCTGTAATTCGCACATTCGATTAATATTTGCGAATTTTCTTAGCCTTTCGTTTGGAGGCAATTGTTAACTTCGTTGTGTTGTTTCAAAGATAAGATTGGGCACAGTTTTTTGTCAGGTCACGTACAAGCTCGCAACTTGTGAGGATTAGAGCTAAAGGATTAGAAATTAGAGACTGAACGTAAATGGTTTAGAAGGAATACGAACTCTGCTCTTTGATAATTCCGTTTTCTTGCTTTTCTTCGCGTAATTCCGCGTCTCCATTACCCTGTTGTTTAGCCTTCTCCCTTTCTGATTCCACAAAATCATCAAAGAGACTTGGCCAAGCCTCAGAGTCGTCATAATTTTCGAAATCTGGCTCGATCGCCTCGGTGAAGTTTAGAAACATATACCATGTGTCCCGTGAAATCCCCCGCAGTTGCCTGTTTTCCAAGTAGGCAAACCAACGATCAAGAACAGCTGGTACGTTCTTTGAAAAAACCAGCTTCCAAAGAGGAAGTGCGATGTTCTTCGGCAAGGCGCGCTGGCCTTCATCGACATCCAGTCCAAACTTGAACGTAAAGCGATATAAATCCTTGAATTTCTCAACATCGTTTGTCACTTCTGTCTCCAGTTCTTGAAATTTATTCTGAAGGCTTCTAATCGAGTCTACTTTGAGGGCTTTAAAACCCTCTACGAATTCTGTTCTGGTAAAACGACACATCTGCGAAGCATTGAATTTCCAAGCAATGACTAGAACGATAAATTCTGTCGGATCAACTCCCAAGTCTTGACAAAATTTCTCCATTCCATCAGCGAGAATGGCATCTTCAGTGTCGTCCTTGTATTTAGCAAATAAAGAGTTGATTTTTGTTAAGTCAGCCTCTTGCTTTGAATACGAAAACGTTCTCATACCATCGTGTGAACTGTATTTACCAGCCATTACGTTTTTATCAGCCGCTTTGGTCTTGAATGGTTCGTGTACTACACTGTCGTGTGGTGGATATGAATGGTTTAACGTGCTGCTAGTAACTGTGTTTGTGGTTTGCTGCGAAGGCTTTCGATGAAGCGTATCACTAGTTGAGCCAGAAACACAAACTGAACAGCACTTACCCATAACCACGGCCCGCTATTTTTGTGCTCTGACGCTCAAATGTCGACTTCCAGCGGGAAAAATTCTCATAAAAACAAACCGATGATGTCGTGAACGGCCGAAGGCAAGATGAAAACTTTTCTTGCGCTAGCCACCACGTGACCGGATATCTAAACTGCGCGGTAACTTCCGGTTTTGAGTGAAAAGAGAAGCGCGCGTCAGTTTTTTTTTCCGGCTCCATGAATTGAAGGAGGGAGTTGATTTTTGTCTTGTTTTCAGTTTCCCACTTTCAATGAAACGAACCGGCACTGGTCAGCTTCATGCACAGACCCGGGTACAACTACTTTTTCTTTTATCTTGTCCCATTCCTTAATATTTACTACTATTAAATGATGACGTGTTGAGATTCTCCATATGATGTTTAGTTAAGGTAAAAAAACCACTGCAGAAAAACCGTGCACGAACAATCTTGCTCAACGTTGGATCCAAAAAGATCGTGATCAGTCAAAATAGATAAAACTGAGAACGTTACAGTCAAGAAGACTTTTGCAGGGACTGATCAAACAACGTGAAATAGAGTTAAGTTGCGATATTTCGACTGGCCAATACCAGTCTTCTGATGAAGACTGGTATTGACCAGTCGAAATATCGCAGTTAAACTCTCTCACGTTATTTGATCAGTCCCTGCAAAAGTCTTCTTGACTGTAACGTTTTCAATTCTCCATATGTTCAAGACATTGATTGATTCGCTTTTATTTGAATTCGGTAATTTCATAAGTTCCTTACAATGAAAACTGTTGCCCCTCAAATAAATGGAGTAAGAGCTTATTTCAAGGGACGAATAGCCTGTTCCAGGAGTTCAGATAGTGGGGACGGGCAGGGGCTCCTGGGACGGGGCACTGAAGGGAGCAGAATTTTTTCAAGTTTCAATCCATGACAATCGTTACCATACCTTACAACAGACGACAGGAGACAGTTTCAATACCTAAATAAAGTCTTAAGTGACAAAACTTGGCCATTATTTTTGGAATCCAATTGATGCAAACATTTTAGCTTTTTTTGAAAAAGAGATAGCAAATATCGTCGAGAGGAGGAGGAGGGCCTGAGTACGAAAACAAACTGAAACTAGTGCCAGTTCGCCAGTTCCATCAAAAAATAGAGTCTTCCATCTTTGATGGAGCTACGGGTGCAGAGGCAATCGGAAATGTTCAGATATAAACAAACCTCTTTCATCTGTTAGCAATTTATGGCAACGAAACGATCATCGACTATTGTAAGTATTCGTGTGGAATTGCAAGTTGACATCGATATATCGTTTTATACTGTTTTACTTCTATTTAAATTTCCCTGCTAGCAGTCTTCTTTTCTTGTTGAAATGATACATCAAACTTCTTCCTTCTTTTGTTTAGTCTCAGAGCCCAGTGGAAAATTGGACAGATGATCTTCCAGTGTGCAGACTATCTGGTGTTGGTTTTTTGACCAATCAGAGATACAGAGAAGATGGTGGAAGAAGGGAAGAACATGAGTTTGAGGACAGGAATTTTCATTTCAATGTAGATGACAAATATCTGTATGGTGTGTTTGATGGACATGATGGCACGCGTGCTTCAGATTTTACTGTGCAACGTCTTCCTGCAGAGCTCTTGCTCGGCCAGTTGACAGGTTTGTCCATACAGTGAAATGTCTTTGCTCTTTATTCACTCCTAGACTAAGTTACTACGAGATTAGTTGTCGCTCTATAAACTTTTTTATGTGTGGAAAAATCTTATGTTGTTACCTTTCAAATAAAACCTTGATGGCTTAAAAAGCCCTCTTTAAACCAGGGGTGTACCTAGGGGTACACTAAGGGGTTCTGGAATCCCTCCATTTTCACCTAACCTGTGAGTAGAGGTTTCCTCCTGGCATGGTTCTTAGTATTTAGACAGCCGTTCACAACACTGGTCAGTACTCACATGTGGGTTGGCTTGTTTACCTTCTTGCAAACTTAAACAAGTCAAACAATACAAACACCAGACATGTGAATGACTTTGTAAATGCTATAAAACATTCTGGAAAAAAAAAGTCTGCTAGCATAGTTATGGCATCCATCGTGGAAAAAATCATACCAATGCTGAAAAATAAACTACAACATATACATCGAATGCAACATATACATTTGACTATCGTAAGGCTTTTGATCTTATTGATCACAATCTGTTGGCCAGAAAGATCGAAGCCTTGGACATGCCACAGTGGGTTCGTGTTTGGGTGCTGGATTTTCTGTCAGACAGGAAACAACGTGTCAAGCTGTCATCAGACTGCAGGTCAGAGTGGGGCCTAGTCCCCGCCGGGGTGCCACAGGGGACCAAGCTTGGTCCCTGGTTGTTCTTATTAATGATCAACGATCTTGAGGTCGACGTGCTCACTTGGAAGTATGTAGACGACACGACTATCGCCCAAACGATACCGCGAGGTTTGACTAGTGATGTACAAAGCGTAGTTTCCGCTGTTGAGGCATGGTCGATTGAAAATAGGATGGAACTGAACGCTGACAAATGCAAGGAGATGCGCATTGACTTTAAAAGGAACACTCACAATTTTCCACCAATTGCGATAAATGGCAAGGAACTATCAGTATCAAACAGTGTAAAAATCCTAGGAGTCACTATTAGCTCAGATTTAAAATGGAAAGAACGCATCTCAGAGTACATTAAGAAAGCGAACAAGCGCCTTTATTTTATTGTTCTTCTAAAGCGTGCCAACGTTCCACTGAGTGACATTGTGAATTTTTATTGCACCGTGATAAGACCTGTTTTAGAGTACTGTGCGCCAGTTTTCCATCGTGCGCTTCCACAGTATCTTAGTGACGACATCGAACAAGTGCAAAAGAGAGCGCTCTCCATCATTTATCCTTATGCGTCGTATTCAGAATGTTTGGTCAGGTTCGATTTAGTAACCTTGCACGCTAGACGCGTGGCTCTGTGTAGCAAGCTTTTCGAGTCTATCACGTCATGCCCGGATCACAAATTCGTGCCTGTCTTACCTCCTAAGAGAGAACACAGACATAATCTAAGACAGTCCAGGGCTTATGCCATGCCCCGTACACATACAAATCGTTTTAAGAACACTTTTATTCCAAGTATGTGTACATAAATTTTATCTATCTATCTATCTATCTATCTATCTATGATTCGAGATTTGCAAAATATAATATGTTCACCAACGAAAAATTAAATATTAAGCAAATTAATGTTGTGACTACAAACATGAGTCAAAATTTTGAAATTTGATTCTCAAAAAAATGCGAATCGAGTTGAAAAAATCTGTGATATTTGGTAGCCAATGAACCGCTACTTTGAATCAAAGCCTTGTCTTGGTGAAGTGAAGACATGGATTGACAACACAACTGGTCAGCATTGTCTCTTTCTCGACTCACATTTTTTTTGGACTCAAATTTCAAAATTTGACTTGTGTTTATAGTCCCACTATTTGCTAATTATTTTTGTGTTTACGAAAATATATTTTGTAAATCTTGAATCTTATTTCGTTTTGCATTCAATGTATTTCACAATAATATTTTTGATATACGTATTGTGTTTTCAACATGTTTTTTAACACTGGTATGATTTTGTGTGCAACAGAATGCCATACATAGTACTTTTCTCCTTAAAAAATAGTAGTCTTGAGTTTTCATATGTCAATGAAAATACTGCTGTTACTAGTCCATTGTGTGAAAGATGCAAAGTGTTTAAAAGACCCTGTTTGCTAATTACAAGCACATGAGCATGGAAGATACCTATACGAAGGCTGTTTACTCATGTCATCGAGTCTCAGCTTGATGTTTTAGTGAGGGATAGTGAATATATGGTAGGCTTATAACTGTGAGGGCCTCTGCTGTCATGTTGTTTCCTTACTGTGCTTTTCAAGAACACACGAACTCTGAAGCTCAAAAGGCAACTGACGTTTGCGTGTTTTGCTGCCGTCAATCATGATAACGGACCTCCTAGGAAACAGAACTTTCCTTAAATGGGTTCAAAAGGTCAAGGCTTGAGATCTGTGATTGGTGGATTTCAATCCGTTTTGTGTGTTTCTTTGTTTCAAAGTTCGTTACTTGTGATCGTAATTATGATTGATGGCAGGGAAAAACACAATCGTAAAGGCGGCTTTTGAACTTTAGAGTTGGCGTGTTTGTGAAAAGCGCAGTAAGTAAAAGCTTTGTTTCACAGTAGACAGTAAATACTGCTGATGAATAGTGTAAGAAATAGAATTATTGTATTATCCCTCCGTCGCTTCCACAGTTACGATGAATGATGAACAGATCAAGGGAGCTATCAGACAAGCCTTTATTGCTGTTGAAAAAGGTTTTTTCCAGTCTTTAGATGACGCCCTTGCTGAGAAATGGGAACTTCAGCTACAACTGCCAGAGGTAGGAATTTCTACCAATGGACAAACCTACATTGTGATAGATGGGGTATAAGAGGCTTTTTTTCACAGATATTGCTAAGAGCTGGCTAGTAACAGAGCTAATTTCAACGGCTGAAAGAGAGGTTACCACTGTCTCAAATTGCTCTGGAAATCAAAGCACTGGGTAAAATTGAAGGTGCAGTTGACTAAAAATGGGCTGTAAAAATGTGGTATAAAATGCTCTAGCTTCTATTGCAAGGTTGAGAGGCACTCTTGCTTGCACAGGATATCACAGTGTTGTACCTTACTACATGAACATCAATTTTCGAAGTCAAAATTATCCAGGAAAGCTGTAAAATGTAAAAAAAAAACAGTGGTTGTGAGATGCAAACTAACCGGCCTTCTTTTGCAATTTGTTTTCAATTTATCACCAAAATGGTCACATGAGCCCAGTTGGGGTTAGTTTCCATACAGGAGCAGGGGTTTCAATAAGCACCAATGAATAACGGAATGTGTCAGCTACTTTGCTTAGAGAAGTCAGCTAATTTTTAATTCCCGAAAGAAGAAGCAACTACTTTTAATAACATTGTAAACAAATAATATATCATTGATTGAGCGGCTGATAAATCAAAACACATTTTCCTGAATGTGCTCAATTGTACTCAATTTTAGTCCACAGAACGCCAGCAATTGCATTTGAAGGCTTTTCAATTTCAAAATTTTCTGGGTGAGCATGCTCCCAGACCCCCATAGAAAAGAGGAAGTAATGTGGGAACTCCTTGTTGTTACAGTCAGATACTCTATTCAAACCTGCTGTCTACTTTAATTATTATTGAAACCACTGCAGGAGACAAAAATTGACCTGCCTTCCAGGCCAGCCTTTTTAACCAGGCTGCCTTACCTGCATATAAGCAGGCCTAATGGAAGCAACAGATGTCAAGGATTGAACCCTGCTCTAAAGAGTTTGACATGTTGGTTGCCTGAACACCTAGCCTCCACCTTGGAGAATGTTTAATACAATTTCTGCAAATTACCACAACCTGGTTAGGTCAGTTGTGCTTAGTGCAGATGCTGTACTTCATATGAGCTGAATCAAATTCACTGAATTATTTGAACTCATGTGAAGTACAGTGAAATTTTAATCACATTACTGTACGGTGAATTGAATTGAGATTGGCTCAGCCATTCTTCACACCTGGCTCAGCGGGGAATAATGGCTGTGGACTGTCATTGATTTAGATGTCAAACTTCACATAAGCCAAACCAAATGCATAAATTTTTATAAGGTAGTTTATGGAAATGCACTTTTTTCCCTTTTGAATTAAGTTCAGTTCGAAGAAAGATCGACATCTGAATCTAAGTAATTGGAGTCTGCCTAAATTCGAATTCAGTTGGGCTTATGTGAACTATGGCTTCTGAACCCGGCCTTGGAAAAGCTCTGGTAAGCCTGTCAGGCAAATTGTTATAGGTTTGAGCCCATATAAGTCCAGCTCTTAAAATGTTGGTGAGTTTGCTGTGGCTATGATTATGTGAGCTATGAGACCTTGTTTCAGTTGACAGTAGGTTATCACATTTTTTGAACAGCGAAGGTGGGCCATCAGCCCTGTCTATGTGATCCATTCTTGACAATTTGAATAAAAGAGTAGGAATTTATATCCTGTTGTGATTGCTCACTTTCTTTGATTGTTTCAGAGGAAGTGCGGTCTGTGGAAACACAGTTACTGTACTAGGTTTAACTGTTTTGGTTTCCTTGCCAAACAATATCAGCCTCTGGTTAAAGGCCAGGGGAACACGTATCAAAGTTTGTAATTTTTTCAGGGTTTGAGTTCCTATGAAGCTTATCAAAAGTTTCCAGACCATGTTGCGAGGATCCAAGCTTTACAAGATGAGATCAGTGGTGGCACTACAGCAGTGTTGGCTCTTATATTCCAGAATAAACTCTTTGTAGCTAATGTGGGTGACTCCAGAGCACTTCTTTGTAGGGTGACACCAGAAGGCAACCTCTCTGTTCAACAGGTAATCGCCAAGACCTTTTAATAACTTGTAATGATCGAAGGTTAGGGAGAGTTAGTTAGGGCGAGCTTTGCGCAACTTTAACGTGATAGATGTTCGAAACGCGTGTGATCATATTACAAGTAATAGGAGGTCCAAACATGTGATCAGATTGTGTTTTAAGTTTTCCGTTCGTTCTTAGTAGAAGTCTAAACAAATGCTAGCTACATAATTCTGTGCTGTGTATGACTTGTGTAACAGGAACCTCCCGATTACGGTTGCTAGCTCATCTCAGCTCATCCTCGGCAATTACATATCTCTGGTTTTCAGCTGACGTCACAGTGGCCATGCTGGTGGACGAAAACAAAACAGTTTCTCTCCACTGGGAACTAAACTCTGATTTCATGCAAGTTCTGTGAAGAAAAATTTTATTGTTTTGTCCAACAGCACGGCCACCTTGTCACACGGTTGAAAATAAGCAATAATATAGTAACTTTGTTTATAATAGTGAGAAATGAAGTCATTAGTGGCAGGGAAATAAAAAGCTTCATCAAATGGGTTTAAACTTAAGGGGGCACCTGGACAGAAGTGCTGTTCAATTGCCTAAGGCCAGCGTGTTTTACTGACTAGCTGTTGGACAGGCAAGCAACTTTTGCCAATATAAAAGGAAATATTAGTGAAAAAGTGGGTTAGTAAACCTGCACAACTGTCCAGGTGCCGGTTTCTCAAACGTCAGGGTAACTTTTCCAGCCTGGAAAGCTGTTTACTTTTATGTTAAACTTTGTTGTGTTTGCATTTAAGATCAAAGTTTCGATAACCATGAAAGTGATTATCAATTAACAAAGCAAAATTGACCGGTTTGTGAGCTAGGAACTGTGCTGCTAAATAGGTTTTGATTTTAAAATTTGCCTTCGGGCCCGAAAAGTTACTGGGCGTTTCGAGAAATGGACTCCAGGCAAGTAAAATTCAATTGCAGCTTGCGCAAAGGGCAATTTTTTTAAAAAAAATTTCATCTCATCCTGAGAGACAATCACTCTACATGTGCATCAGTTTTACACATTTCTGCACATAATTGTTGCTTTCCTTTGGAAAACAACCCTGCAAAATGGGCAAATTGAAAGTTTCAGGGACTACCCATAGTCTACAACAACTCACCTGTTTTAATATTTTTCATGTGTAGTTAAGTGTCGACCATGTCACAAATAACAAAGAAGAGCTTGAACGTCTGGCAAAACTTGGCTTGGACATTCAACAAATTCTGCGAAATCGTAGGATTGGAAATCAGGAGAACACTAGGAGCATTGGTGACTATGGCGTGAAGGGTGGCTACAAGGATTTTGATATTTTGAGGTGCAAACATTAATATGTCATTCAAGGGACTGATTCAGGGGCAGTGATTAGCGCAATAAATTGATTAGGTGCTAAACTGTGTAGCAGCAGGCCCTGTTCATGCAACTTGTGCAGATCGTGCTCTATTGAGTTTTACACCATTATTGCTTTCAATGATGATTATGCATTCATTATTGCATCCAAAGAAGACACAAAGATCACCTCCATCCATAGTTTGCTATTATTGGGTTTTCAACCTTGCATTTTCTGTTATGTACAATTATTAACTCCAAAATTATTTTGACTCTTATTGAACTCAAACATGATTTCTTTTGCTTGTATTGGCAGTTGGGGCGGGTGGGGGGTCGGGTATGTCACTTTATACAGTCAAACCATGCGTTATGGACACCCAGTTAATACGGACAGCTTATGTAGCCCTCTCAGTGTCCGTATTAACGGAGTTTGACTGTACATGGTATCAGTGATAGATGCAGTTGCGTTAGAACAGTACACAGTGAAGTCAAAACTTTTCTTTCTTGGTGTCATTTCCAGTGTTGCAACAGAAGAGCCAGTCATAGCTGAACCTCACATTTGTGGCGGCATCCCAATTGATGAGACATTCTTTGCTCTTGTGCTGATGTCAGATGGAGTTTACAATTCAATAGAAGAAGCCGCAGACATGGAGATTAATTCTAATTTTGATGTAGTTCGCCTGGTGACTGAAGAGCTTCAGTGCCAAAATAACCTGACTGGAGTAGCACAGGCCGTCGTGGATAGAATAGGCAGGGCACATCATGACACTTACATGAACCAAATGCGCAAGTGTCAGAAAAGAGATGACATGACTCTCCTGATTAGGATTTTCAAAGAAGAGATTGCTAACAGTCTGAAAAGTCCAAGGGCTGCGGGCAGGCAAGCAATGTCAGGTAGAGACTGAAGTTTGTCGACATTCTCCATCTGGCCCCAGTTGTTAAAATGGTAGGTCATGCTATCCATCCAGTGGATAATGCAATTGGCTTCCTTAATAGTCTTGCCCAATGTTATTATAGTGCTATACAACTTTATAACAACCGGGGCCTGATGTAGCCAGTTCTGAATTTTGAATCCTCTATCTTCGTCTTTAATCGTTATCTTTAATTAACATAAATGTCTGTTGCAAGCTAATCTGGCAATGGGTGTCAGTCATGTACATGTGCACGGATGCTCATAACAGTGACAGCGAATGGGAAAATACAAAATTTTCACTCACGCTATAAAAAAAAAACATGATAAAAATAGTGGGAATTCAAAAAGGTAAATTACTTCAAATACTTGAGTGAAAGGCATTAACATTAGGGAGTTTAAGATATAACGACTGCGACGGCCACGAAAACGTCTCTTAAAACGGGAAATTTGCGTTCTGTCAATCTGTATCGCGATTACTCCAACTCATTTACTTTGTCAAATGCAAGTGAACCCTTTTTGAACCGAATTCCTAAGAACCATATTCAAGTTCAGAAAAAGAAAGAAAATTTAGCCGTCGCTTGTTTACGTCCTCCATAGAACGTGAAATTAGGCATTTTTATGTCGTGGTCGTGCATTGACGGCAAAAAAATGTAAGAAAAAAGCGTACCGCACTTGCCGAGTTGTTGTTGTCTTGTTGTCTCTAAGTCCCTATTAACAGCGTATACAGAATACGGGGGTAAGGCATTCCAAAGTGGGACAGTTCTAACTAAAAAAGAGAAATTGTGCGCCTTAATGTTAGACAAAAAGCGTTGATACTGAAATGAGGGTTGCGTGCTGGTTCGTGTGACGTACGGCGAGGTTGTCTAGAGTAGGTCATTAGGAAAAGGTCTTTTGACGTTGCCTATTTGAATCTTAGAAAACATGATCAAGTCAGAAATCTTTCTACGTGTTTCAAGATCTTGCCACCCCGTCTTTGATATCATGTTTGTACCACTACTGGTTCGGTGATAGTCGTTGAAAACAAAGCGCGCTGCGCGACACTGAACGGAATCTACGCGGTTGATGTCCTTCTGTGTATATGGAGACCAAGCAACGGAGCCGAGCCGTATTCACGTACTGGGCGGGCTAAGGTTAAGTAAGCTCGTTCTTTAACAGTACGGCTACAAGACTCTAGGTTCCTCTGCAGTACACCCAAGATCTTGTTTGCTTTCTTTTTCACTTCCACAGTCTGTTTTGACCAGTTAATGGGGCTGGTAATGTAAACCCCTAAATATTTCTTAAAAGTGGCTCCCTCCAAAGGAGTGTTGCTGCGAGGGGCAAAGTTCATTTGCACACATAGCTGCCTACTGTTCAAGCCGCAATAGGGACTTCCGCAGAAGCGTATGATGATCAGCCGAAGACTTAATACGGCGGTAAAGCACACTGTCATCCGCAAGTAGCTTAACATTCGGTAATACAACAGAGGGCAGATCGTTGATAAATAGAAGAAACAAAATCGGCCCCAGACCTGTGCCCTGGGGTACACCAGATAGAACAGTTAACCAATTAAATGATGAACCATTCACCACCACGCGTTGTCTTCTACCAGTGGGAAAAACCCGAAGCCAGTTATTAAGCTTCCCAGAAAAGCAATAAAATTTGGCCTTAAGGAGGAGCCTTTCGTGAGGCATAGTGTCGAGGGCCTTTACGAAATCAAAGAAGATCACGTCGACCTGACCACGGATGTTAAGAATACTACTCACCCACTCGTGAATGACCGTAATAAGCTGGGTCTCACACGAGAGTCGTTTTTGGAAGTCATTCTGGTGCTGGAGCTGACTGAATTTCTACTAAGGTGGCTGCAAATTTGCTTGCAAACAAAGTGCTCCACGCTTTTTGCAACAAGAGATGTTAAAGACACAGGTCTGTAATTTTTAGAGTCAACAGAATGTCCCTTTTTAAATCAGGCAGTGATGTTTGCATCCCTCCAAGTGGATGGTAGAGCACCTTTATCAAATGATTGTTTGAAAAGTGAAGTGAGGATGAGGGCAAACTCAAAAGCAGACTCGTTAAGAATGCAAGCGGGAATTTGATCAGGTCCACTGGCTGTGTCAGGCCTTGTGGACTCGAGCAGCTTCTGAATAACACGGGTATTGAAGGTATATAATATCCGGAATATCCTCGTATGAGATTCTGGGAGAATTGGAACGTTGTTTAAATCTTCCCACGTAAACACATTCTCGTATTGTTCACGCAGGGCCTCGGCTTTTGACATGTCGTTTGCACAGACGCGATTTTTCCAGAAGAGGGCTGGAATACCCATAGACTCCGAACGTAAGAGCTTAATATACGACCACGCCCTCTCAATGTCGACACTGGTACTACCGTTAGGAGACGGTGCGATACCGCCCATGGCCTCCTTAGTTGTGCTGTTACGTAAATGTCTGTAGGCACTCAAGTGCTGAGCTTTTCCAAGTCGTTAAGTCTTCTTGTATGCTCTGTCACGCTTGTTTATCAATCTATTGATTGCTGGGCCAGTTCAGGAAAGGTGGCGCTTCTGCTTTGTCATTTTTGATGGAAAGAACTTGGTAATCGCCTCTTTGATAGAGGCTGAGATGTTGGACAAATTCTGCTCAACAGACCTGTCCTCGGGGTGTGAATGGAGACACCAATCACTAAATGACGACATGCAGGCACGAAAGCCTTCAAAATTCCTTTTATGAAATTGATAGACTCTTCAAGGAGGTTTTGGGGCAGATTATGGAGCCAAATCTACTTCGAAGAGAATAGCGTCATGGTCACTGATACCTGGGACGAAGTGACATGCCTGGATGAGGCTGCTAATGGTAGAAAGTCCAAGATCTAACGTTCTGCCAGAGACTTCACGGGTTGGAGATTTCACAGGCTGCGTAAAGCCAAACTTGTCGGTAACCTCCAGCAAGGCGTGATCGCAAGTATGCGCTGGAAGGTCACCGGAACTCCAATCAATTGCACCACAGCTAAGTCCCCGCCAAGAATAATATACGGGAAACCAGAGCAAATGTTACAAAGCTTACTACGAACATCACCTGCACGCATGCGTGCCCGCATGTCGTCATTTAGTGATTGTTATCTCCGTTCACTGAGACTGTAATGACCTCGGAGCCCTCGAGATCAAACCTTTTTCCCTCGACGGCGACTAGGTCGTTGCGAACTGCAATAAATACTCCTCCACGAGAAGATGACCTTTCCTTACGGAAAATGTTAGAGCTCTCATGAAAGAGTCAATAGGTCGGAATGTCAGCATCAAGTTTAGACTCACATTCCAAAATAATATCTGGGTGGTGCAGCTCAATGTAAGATTGGAACTCAGACCTTTTAGCTGAGCCTTTGAGACCGTTGAAATTTAAAGACATAACTTTCAGCTTCCTTTTCGCTGGTTTCCTCTTTGGAGGTACACTGCTTGTAGGACTTGAAGAGTGGAGAAGTGGCCTTGGTGAGGAGGAGTTGAAAAGGCTTCCAAAACTATTGGAGACGGTAACCGAAAAAGGGTCATTCAGCAGGAAAGATGTTGAAAAGATGGAAAACAAACAGCGATTGCACATCCAAACCAACTTTGATTCACATCCATGTTTCGCCGCGCCAGGATCTGATTGAATATCGCCACACAAAAGGAGGATAGGGTATAACAGTTGTCGAGATGAACCATAACGACTGTTGTAGTGATCCAAGGTGGCGGACTTCTTGTTTGCAAAGCGATTAATCAAGGCCTCAAATCCAACAAGGAAAGGGCGATCTCTCAGCGGCGAAAACTGATAAGCGGTGTCATCGGAACAAAAACTGACGTTAGGCAGTGGATTAGGCAGATTTGCAACGCCCAAAAATAAAGAAATTAAGCACAATCGCCGGAGCAATGAAAGGTGTTCGGCGACCGCTGACCGACCCTAAATAAGCCAATGAGCAGTAATTTTCGTATGGTACCATGAGCTGTTCTAGAAAAGGGACTCCTCATTTTTGAGTTTGTAATTGAACAGCTGAATTGAAGTGCTTAAATTTGTATCAAATCTCCACTGTTATACCGTTCAAACTCAATCAGTCCTTTGTGTGGAATTAATTTCGCTCGAAACATATTGACATTTTAGTAGTTTTTAAATAAGTCATGGAGATGCTCATGTGAAACCTTATAAACTGTACTGATTGTTTAGACGTTAATGCGGATTCATTGCGGCGTTTTCCAAACTTGTATTTCAGGTGTGCCACCAGCAAGCCCTGTGGTCCTTCCTGTATCTGTACCATACAACCCTGCGAGTGCTGCGAGCGGCGCTGCACCGTCCTTATACATACCCCAAGGTGTACAACCCATACCACAACCTACCGGAAATACACCCAGCCCTACTACCTCCACGCCTACCAGTACAGGCACTCCGGTACCCCAGGTGGCTGTCAGTGGTTCACGGTCGGATACCCAGAGCTCTGCTGCTTCCTCGGGCTCTCAATCACCTTCCGTGTTCACTCCTGCCGAACCGGGAGCTGCAGCAGGGCAAGGAACAGGCATAAGCGGCGATGATGAAAGAGAGGACATTCGTGTGGAACCCTATGTGGATTTTACGTACTTTTATCGGCAGGTAGCCGAACTCGGAGAAGACTATGTCTACGGCTGGGACAAAGAAAATACTGAAGCACCCGCTTAGATTAGTTGAAGTACAGAGTTAAACGTATAGAAGGTTGAAAGCTCTTTTATACTGTTTACATTGGCCCTTTTTACAAGCAAAATCAATTGTGGAGTCGCCGCAACTTTAGAAGTGTAACTTCTGCCCCTCGTTTAACTCCAAATGTGTCCGTCAACACACAGTGATTAGAAAATACTTTTGTTTTTTGTACCTGGCTGAATTTATCTTAAACAGAATTAAAGAAACTTTAAAGGATGTATTTAAAAGAGTTTAGGCTTTGGATTAGGCGAAGAGAGGAAGAGTGACGGAGCGGGAAGAGCGCTGGACTTGCAATCCGGAGGGCCGAGTTCAAGACTCCCCTGACCACTGTTTGGATGATAAGACTGATGAAAATACCGTCACCTTTAACTAAAGAATTGAATAAAATATCCCCAACGTCCACATTTAACACTTCTCTCGTAACTGTCTCAACCAACACAACCCCACACAGCGCAACTTTGCCAACCGGCATAACTTCAAAGATCAGCACATCTTCCACAATCAGCATAACTCCCACAGCCTGCACACCTCCAACAGCCCACACACCTCCCACAGCCCGCACACCTTCAACAGACTACACACCTTCCACAGCCTGCACACCTTCAACAGCCCACACACCTCCCACAGCCTGCACACCTTCAACAGCCCACACACCTCCCACAGCCTGCACACCTCCAACAGCCCACACACCTCCCACAGCCCGCACACCTTCAACAGCCCACACACCTCCCACAGCCTGCACACCTTCAACAGCCCACACACCTCCCACAGCCTGCACACCTTCAACAGATCGCGCACCTCCAACAGACCGCACACCTCCAACAGACCGCACAGCTCCCACAGACCACACACCTTTCACAGACCACACACCTTCAACAGACGGCACACCTTCCACAGCTCGCACACCTCCCACAGTGCGCGCACCTCCCACAGACCGCACACTTCCAACAGACCGCACACCTCCAACAGACCGCACACCTCCCACAGACCACACACCTTCAACAGACGGCACACCTTCCACAGCTCGCACACCTCCCACAGTGCGCGCACCTCCCACAAACCAGACACCTCAACAGACCACACATCTCCCACAGCCCGAACACCTCCAACAGACTGCACACCTCCCACAGACCACACACCTTCAACAGCCCACACACCTCCCACAGCCTGCACACCTCCAACAGCCCACACACCTCCCACAGCCCGCACACCTTCAACAGCCCACACACCTCCCACAGCCCGCACACCTTCAACAGCCCACACACCTCCCACAGCCTGCACACCTTCAACAGACCGCGCACCTCCAACAGACCGCACACCTCCAACAGACCGCACAGCTCCCACAGACCACACACCTCCCACAGACCACACACCTTCAACAGACGGCACACCTTCCACAGCTCGCACACCTCCCACAGTCCGCGCACCTCCCACAGACCGCACACCTCCAACAGACCGCACACCTCCAACAGACCGCACACCTCCCACAGACCACACACCTTCAACAGACGGCACACCTTCCACAGCTCGCACACCTCCCACAGTGCGCGCACCTCCCACAGACCAGACACCTCAACAGACCACACATCTCCCACAGCCCGAACACCTCCAACAGACTGCACACCTCCCACAGACCACACACCTTCAACAGACCGCACACCTTCCACAGCTCGCACACCTCCCACAGTGCGCGCACCTCCCACAGACCAGACACCTCAACAGACCACACATCTCCCACAGCCCGAACACCTCCAACAGACTGCACACCTCCCACAGACCACACACCTTCAACAGACCGCACACCTTCAACAGCCCACATACCTCCCACAGACCACATACTGGCATACGGCTTTCCAAACAGAAATTTATTTGCTGGCTAATGCTTGTTTAACAAACAGATATTTCCCCCTACCTACCTTCACGCGCACTACATGGGATAGCGAACCTCTAAATTACTCTTTAGCTCCTGAGTTTAACAAAGTTATGCCGGAAAAGTGAAGCCAGTAATAAAGAACTAATCAAAGTTACATTTTGCAGTGTCTATTGTTTGACTGGACTCACTTTCGCCCGTTCTTGAAAACTTTTGTCGCCGTTTTTCCCGACCCGACTGACCTCCCCTGGGTCTCCGAGGACTGTGCCGTGTGGTTCCCAGTCAACAGCTTCCACAAGTGTTGGGTGGAGTTGACGCTTTAAAAAGTAGTGCTTTGCACTAGTCTCAGCATAAGTCTGACGGCTATGCCATGCCAGGTGTTTGACCTTAACGAGGGCGAAACAGCTGTCTAGGGCTGCCACTGCCCCATGCACTTTTGTGACTGAGCACTGGCCAGACCGTAGGCTGGTGTACACGTATCAGTTGCTTTTGTTAAGTTTGCCTCACCACCACCCTATGGTTGAAGCATAAAAACTGCAGTTGGGCCACTACCCACAGCATTTTCTTGCAGCGCAAACGGGTTTGCTTGATGGATCCAGTCGAAAGTTGGAAGACATGTAACTGTAGACGCTCTTTCATTAGAAGACTCTAGGGGACGTTATGTCTTTATACCGAAATTTTCAAGAGACTTCTTTTAAACAATAATCGCAATATCTTGGTTTTTCACGTAAAAAACAAAACCTCCAAAAATCGTAGGTAATATAATTTAGGGGAGAACCTTGGTATATCCTAGACGACTCAGAATGGTTATCCAGGAATTTCTCCTTCTAACATTGAAAGAAGAGAAGAATGATCTAGCTCATTCTCTCTTGTTCTTCACTTGGAGCATGTCATGTTGCACAACACTGCACAGTGCGTATTTCACACTATTTCATAACGGCCAGACGACAATTAGCCTGTTCCAGGCTCTGAGATGGTGGTGGAAAGTCGTTCAGTAATAAGAAATGCGAAAAACGCGCGGAGGCTTGGAAGAGACAGCGCTACCGCCCCCTTTCCCAAGTCGGGCGCGTCTTATTTTCGTTTTGCTCGTTTTAATACGTTCTCACTATACTATATGAGAGCCTGGCACAGGCTAGACGACAATGAAATACGCACTTTGCAGGTGTTGTGCAACATGAGATGCTCCAAGTGAAGAACAAGAGAGAATGAAGGGAGGAAGGGTCCTTGATGAGGTGGAGAGCGCGATTTCTGGAAAAACTTTGAGAGCTCACTGCTGTTGACCGTGCAACCCAGAAAGGTGCGTCTAGTTTAAACAAGAGTGAGTTTTGAGATGCTCTGAAACTCAGGTACGACTGGGAAGTTCCTGAGACACCCTCTGTCTGTGTTTGCGGGGACATGTGGATCACGCTATGATATGCAAACGGGTCATATTTGTCATCTAACGCCATAATGAACTGAGGGATCTGGAGGCGGAACTGCTTAGTACGGTATGTCGAAGCAGTTTTTGCAAGGCATCACAGGAGAAGAGTTGAATGTAGCAGCCAAGGCCCCGGATGCACGGCTGATTATAGTTGCTAGGGGATTGTGGGAGAAGCAGAGATCGGTTTTCTTTGATGTGAGGGTTTGCTACCCGAATGCAGACTCCTATAGAGATATGGATCCACACCAGACATTCAGGCAACAAGAAACAGAGAAGAAGCGCCAGTACGCTAGCACAGTGTTAGGAGTAGAGCAAACTACATTCACGCCATTAGTTTTCAGCACGAAAGGTGGAATGGCGGTGGAATGCAAATGACGGCCATAGTAGGCTTGCCGAGCTAGTTGCTACAAAGAAGGGCGAAAGGTATGCGATTACCTTGTCATGGATCCGGGCTAAAGTGTCATTTGCCCTGCTAAAATCAGTTTTGCTTAGTAGAAGATCGTGAGTGTCTAGAAGAGTCCATTTAAAACTATGCAAGGTTTCAATTCCGAATCTTGTCCCGATTTTGCTTTAAAATCCGCGAATCTAGATTACGAGCAGTCTCTCTTTTTTCTGCAGTCCGTCGAGCAAAACGCAAGACACGCAAATGGCCACGCGCCCGCGTCTCGCGGCTTCGCCGCTCGCGCGCATGTGCACTCCTCTTACTAAACTGAAGAAAAAGAGGGACTGCTCGCAGTCTACCGCGAATCCCGAGCTTTGAATAAGGGAAATCCCGGATTCCGATGAGGGACCTTCATACTTGGCGGCAGGCTTAGCGTGTGCAAAGTTTAAGTCGTTACTGACAGAGGTGCATTCAGTTCTTCATACATTTACAAGGATAATCCTTAATCCTTTTATGGTGACACACCATGACACGACAAGCATCTATTTTCTTTCAAGAGACATCAAAATTTAAAAATATCCTTCCTTTGGCATATAGTTTCCTTATTCTCTTTGTTTCAAACCAAAGCATGACTGTGTTATTATTCGTCGACAAGGATCGTACCGGACGCAATGTACTTGTTACGTGTGCGATGCACATAGAGTCGCACCGCAATTGCCATATATGGCAAATATGTCTGGCTGATACGTTTCAAGATCCAGCTGATGTCACAGAACAGGCTAAAATGTCATGAATATGCATCAAAAAATTTCTTTCGTGATTTAAATATTTGCCATAAAACGGAAGCATCGATACAAACTGGAATAGTTTAAATTCCAACTAACTATAACACAATACAAATAAAACCATGTTCTTTTGCGTTTTTCTTTAAGAAATTTCTCATGATGAGTTCTTTCGCTTGCTATAATCGAAATTTGAATTGAAAAGATTCCTCTTTCCTTCATGATTTACAGAAAAACCTTCCAGCAGTCTGTCGGAGGTGTGTCATCGAAAGCTGCGGTTCAATAGTTCTTCAAAAGGTTCATTTGAAGTAAGTGGACCGTAACTCGTTTCAGTAAGCGTAACGCAATAATGATCTTTCACAAATTAGTGTCCAGCCCAAGATTCCACACATCTGTTAAAACTTCTTTTTAGTCCTTTTAGTTTTATTATCACTAGTTCAAAAGCCACGGTGAAGTTTGTGACTTTTAAGTTCAAAACAGAACTTAAGAATACGGAATACATATTTTATTTTCCTTCACGCAAAGAATAAAATGTTGCATGACTTTTCCGCCAATCAGGAGTGAGCTATGACGTCATGTCACGGGGGTGAGGCTATCACATCGTCGAGTTTCTCGGTGGACTGTTGGAGAAAATATTCTAATCTGTTGGGCTTTCCTTAATTTTTCCTTTCTGGAGACTGGTTTAGGGAACACGGTTTCGTGTTTATCGAAGAAAGAAGTGTTTAGTGTGGCTTGCTGAGCTTGGCTCACACTGTAAAGCGTCCATCAAACATGGAGGAGATGAAATATTTGGCCGTGGATCGAGCAACCATTGCTGATCCTGCGGCCCAGGCCAAGTGGTCAGCGAAGAAGTTAGTTTGGATCCCGGACGACGAACACGGATTTGTTGCTGCGAGCGTAAAAGATGACAAGAAAGACCAGGTCGTGGTCGAATTAGAAGGTGG